CCCCCCCCCCCCCCCCCCTTTTTTTTTTGTCCTTCTATTTAGGCTTCATTTACATTGGAATCTGCTTTAGTATATTTCAAGAAAGAGTAAAAGCCCCATGAATTGAAGTAATTGGGTTGAAACTGACCTAATAGTTGTCTGATTTTTATTGTTTTTGTTTTCTGGGGAAAGAAAAATAAATTAAATATCTCTTCTATTTTTGTGATTTGTCTACAATTAAAATGTTTGACTTTGGGAAGTGTGGTCAGTTCAAGGAATGTGTTGTGAGTTAATTAAAGAAATAAAACCCTTCTTCTTTCCTTATTTATTAATTCTATCTTCTGTCCAAAGCAAAGCAGCTAGAATAGGCAGAACCAGCAACATAGGTAAGAGCAATAGTCTGGGTTTCTTTTCCCCTTCATGTAATACTGCCAAATGCACATCTTCAGGACATAGCTGGCTTCACAGGTTAATGATTGTTCTTAGTGGGTTGTCTTTATCTCTTCACTCAGACTCATGTTTCCTTTATTTTGTGGGACAATTTGAATTAATACCTTCTTGAAATGAATAAATTAAAAAGATTTTTTTTCTCCAGGTTCTCTGAATGTTCAGGCAGAATGCTTTCTATCAGTTGCACTCAGCTCCTGGTGGAGGTATTTTTCATATCAGTAGCAGGTAGAGTGGCATGTTTTAAAAGAGAAGGAATGCAGAAGGTAGTGTGGCATAGAAGGTTTGGGTTGTTTTTTTGGTGGGGGTTTTTTGTTGGTTTTTTTTGTTTGGTTGGTTTTTTTGGTGACCATTCTTCACCCCAGGTCAAATCCCAAAATAGACTGAGCCTGGATAGAGATGATAGATGGATTTTTTTTATTTTTTTTTAAGTACCTTGGTAAAGTTATGATTGGTTTGAGAGCCTTAACCTGTATTTTGATGAATTAAAGCATGCTTTAACGTTTCATATTTCCGCTTTTGCTCTTTTTTTTTTTTTTTTATTAAGGAAAAAGCAATTCCTGATACTGTGAAACGTGCTTATAGGTCATATTAAAAATTACACATATAAGGTAATTTAATTTCTGAAGTAGTGAATAGCACAGTGTGTGTCTACATGCTGCTTATGTGTACATTGGTTAGACCACTTGTTTTAATCTTGTTCTTTGGTAATGGCTGGCCAACCAGTAAGAAAGGAGAAAAATCAAGCAACCCTGGAATACAAACTGAAAAGATATGTGTTGTGTTACAGGGTAATGTAGTAGCTTTAAAAGTAATAATAATAATTAAAAAAACCCATACATGAAGAAAACCACAAAATGGTTTGTGGACTATGTGAAAATGAACAAAGCTCAAAGTAGCAAACAGAAGTGTGTATTTGCAATAAAGATGGCAATTGTACCCCATATTTTAGGGTTGAGGTCTCTGGGAGATGGTGAGCACTTTACAGTGGGATGCAGGAACTCGCATTCCCTGGGAGTCAGATTTTGGGGGAGCTGCTGAGAAGGAGAGTATCTGAGAACATAAGTGAGGAAAGTGAGGAGCCAGAGGAGAAAGTAGACCAAAGGCTTAAGCCGGTGAATGTTGCCAGATTTTGTTGGATTAATTTGACCTGTTAGTACCTGCCCCTTCAGTTGGTTATTACCATCCCTGTAATGTGCCAGTTCCTTGGCTTTTTCTATTAATGTAATGGGTTTGTAAAACAAACAGCTCTCTGCAGCAGGCAATGCACGTTGGCTTCTAATGCCCTGCTGCAGCCCGCGAAAGAGGTGGTGGGGTACATCCTTCTTATGTGGTCCAAGTGAGATTTGACAGAGCTCATCTGCAAGAGTCATGAGGGTAGACAGGGGATTGTCATGTGGAAGAAGGAAAATATGTAGGAGAGGTATTGAGGTAAGTGGTGAGAGAGCTTAGGAAGATAACAAAATGGGGACAATGGTCTATCATATTTGTGGAGTCAGAGGTTGAGAGAGGTGAGAAAAATGTAAACTCGTCAAAGTTTGGGGTACTGAACAAGTCATCTGTGTGTTACTGGGAATTTAAAGTGAAATTTTGATCACGAAAAAGCCACTAAGAGGGAAGTATCTCTTAATGGTCAAGCATAAAGAATTGTAAGAGCAGCTGCTGAAAAATAGTGTAGCCTCCTGTTTGTCATGCAGTCTGCCTGTTAATTTATATTGCTTGGGTTTGGAAATACTGCTTAAGAGGTGTTCTTGGTTTTATCCCTTCAACCAAACAGTGCAAAGGATCTACTGCTGTCAAGGGGTATCGGAAAGACTGTTAAAGAACAACATTGTTTGGTGTGTAGATTTTAAGCAGCCCCAAGATCTCTGTACCCTTCTCTGAGGCTGTGCAGCTGCTTACATGGAATTATTTTAAACTTGCTCTTTCTTTTTTATGGATGGAGAACCTGGAACAGTGCTCTAATAGCATTTTCCAGTGCAGAGCTGAAAATTCCTGTTTTCTTTCTTAACAGATACCAACTTTTAGAACCTAAGAATTTGCTGTTCGTTTCCCTTTTACTCCTCACTTAGGTTTCCTGTCTTTCTGCTCTTCATCTCTTGCCTGTTTTCCATGCTCTAAGAACTCAATATGTAGTACCCATGGGCTTTGCTAAATTTGCCCTTATGTGAAATGATGTTTTAACCTTCCATCAAGCCTATAGAAGACCTACAAATGACCAGGGGAATGCTTTTAGGAGGCATAGGGACAAAATAAGAGGAGAAGGATGGTTTCTTAATCTCTGGTACATGCAGTTTTTGAGTTTCAGAGCTATCCCTTTGTGCAAAAGATGCAGAAGTTTGTTCACCTCTTGAAGCATCTTTGAATACATGCTTGCTTCTGTTACTCTCTCTGGCATTTCTCAGGTTATGGTTTCTTCTTGTTACTAGTTGCTCTATGATTATATATTACATACCTCGTTAAGTCTCACTTCTTTCCTTTTCTTGGCAGCTGCAAATCAAAAAGAGCCCTTGACTCCTAAATTTAAAGTGAAAGAGGAGCCTAAGGATGAAGAAGTTGCAAGTTCAGCCTTGTCTCAGTCCAGCTATGTGTTCAGCCAGGAATCCGAAGCCTCAGTTGCAAACGTCCCTGAGGAGAAACTCAAGCCACAGGAAGCACAGGCAAACGTGATGAGGCAGGACATGTCAGTCAAGGCAGCATCTGAGCTCCTCATGAAGCTCTCAGGTATATTCTTTAATAATATTCAGCTTCTTAATTTTTTTTCATGCACACTAGCAGGGTTACTTGCAGAAGAATATTTAGCTTTAGTAGTAAGTGAAGGAACAATTGAAAAGGTCTGTCTACACACGTTTGTATACATAAGACATCTCAGTTTGGTCACCATAGTATCTAATTATCTGTGCTCTGGTTTTCAAATTAATGACTGTGGGATAAGTCAAAAGAATGATGCCTTAAAGCTTTTAGATATTGTCATTTTTAAAATGTACCAAAACATGTTAGTACCAATTTATTCACGTGTCACTTCATTAACATCATAAGAATGTGTATCTGCACTGAACTGTACTTGATACAGCTTTATAAATGATGACTTTTAAAGCCTTTTATTTTTTCTGACAATATCTTGTCCTCAAAATCATAAGATAGGCTGTTTAAAAAAAATAATGTAAACTGACCCAGCTTTCTGCTGTTAGGGAAACCACTTGAACTTGCCTGCATTGCTTTACATCCTTCTGCCAGACAAGTAGACAGTATGCATGTGTATACACATATGTACTGTTACAGCTGGAGGGAGTCAAATAAAAATGTATGTTCTGCTAATTATGCTTTGTCTAACTTGTCAGAATTGAGGTTTAACTTTAAGGGAAAGTAAAAGGGTAGAATTCTCCCTGCTAGGAACAGGTTAAGTGAATGATGAAAAGGCTTTGAACTTCTAATAGACTTCAAGAACCAAGATGTGAAAGTCAATCTGGGAGGCTGCACCTGAACTGAATCGGTTAGTTTGTAAGTCTTCTCCAAAACTGGACGAGATTTATTTTTTTTTAAGTGTGCCAAAGTAACGCAAGAGGTGCCAGTGGAAATGCTTACAAGTTTAGTAACTTCTGAGATCCCTGGCAAACCTATCTGAAATTATTTGACTTGATTGGATAGTGTCAACATTGAATTTGAGCTCAAATTTATACCTGAAAGACTTTGACTAGGATCTCCCTGATAAATTCTAACATGTAATTAATTCACTCCTGTTCATACCTGCACACTTTAATTTGCAGAAGAATTTAAGTCATTGATTTGCAAGCCTTCCATGTTAATGGTGCAAAAATACCTCCCAGGTACAAAAGTTGATCAGAGCAGAAGTTTCCCAATTTTTCACTGACTCCCAAATACTAAACATTTGGTTATTGATATAGTGCACTGTTGCTGCTAGTAACTGGTTCGAGTATGGTGTTCTGGTAACAAAACTTTGCAGCCTAATGAATGTTAACCTGTGACTATTTTTCTTGGTGCCTATAAATTTATGTAACTATTTTCATAAAGACCGAGCTCCGTAACTTAGTGATCTTTCAAATACTTCAGAGACACTGGGGTTCTTGATTGTGAATTCAGCACTAGCAGGCTGTGTTTAAATAGTTTTATTACAGACTATTATATTCAAATATTTGTGCCTTAAATATCTGTTTGTATGAATGAAATCTGGCATGTATAAAATCTTGGTCAAGTCTTCAGTCACTTCTGTTGGGAACTCCCAGCCTTTAAAGGTTGTAGTAAGAAATACGCTAGTTTAACATTTCTGATCTCTTAGTGATGAAGCAGTTTTTGCTCATAGTGGTCTTTTTGGTTAATCCATAGATGAGAAGGTAAAGAATTACTCTAGGATTTATTCAGTCGGAATTGCTGCAGTTGGTATTCCTGAATCAGCCAGTGGGTGGGGTTATACCAAGTTTATCACACACTGTTTTCAACTTAGACTTTTCTGAATTACCATCTAAGGCAGAAACTATAAAGGAGGAAAACACTAAGATACAGTTTAATGTAGGACAAATATAAGAGGAATATCTAAGATAAGTAGCCTCTTTAGTGTTTTTTTTTAATGTTTACTTTATCTGGTAGAATACTCTGAGATCATTACTGGCTTCCCAGCTTATCTTAAGCAATTCTGCACTCTGTTTTTGGTGATTTAGAACTTAAACAATTAAGCCACTTCTTCAGAATAAAGTGAAAACAAGAATAATGTTCCTCCTTTTTCCTGGTACTGGAAGGAGAAGAGAAAAAAAAAAAAAAGGAAAGGAATGAGTATGTCTGGAAGTTTTGCTGTCTGTGGGAAATCTTCAGCCAAGTGCCCTTATAAGATTTGATATATATTATATAATTGGGTTTAAGTCAGGTCCTTCTGGGCTCTATATTCTTGGTAAAAACTGAATGGATTACATCCTTGCTTTGTTATTTTCACTTTCTTCTGTGTAATACTAATTACCAAAACCTGCACTGCATACAAATTCAGCAAGGGATTTCCGACATGATAGTATCTTGCTTTCTGCATTCCTGATGTACATGCTTCTGGTATCCCCTGAGCAATAATATTGCCGATTGTTGCAGCCTCCTGGGAGCCTCTTGGGATTTAGGCATAGGCCTTGCTGTCTCCTTTCATGTGAAGGATACACCAGTTTATATTTTTCACTGGGAAATCTCTTTTCCCAAACAGAGGTGCTGTGTTGTTAGCTCTCAGCTGAGCTTGTACAGTGTAGTGGAAAGCCGTTCCAGCTGGGGAGCCTCGTTTGGGCTGGTGCCTACTGTAAGAGAGACTTCCTGCAAATCACCAGCCCCTATAATGGAGGGACTTGTCCGCCAGTCAGAAACTACTCTAAAGCTAGGAAAAGCTAGAAGAATAAACATATTTTACCATAGTAGAACACTAACAGAACATTTAATAGTTGTCACTGTAGAGGTAAATGTACAGTAACAAGAGAAAAATCACACGCAGCTGTCTATTTTAGTTTTACCACACAAGGCTCTCTCTTTTCTCATTAAGCTAAAAAGCTGTCAGGACACTCGCATGCTTCTAGCAGCACACAACCAGTGTTTAAGATCAGGCCCTTGCCCGGCATATTACTTTGGTGGAGTTGGACCTTATCTGGAGATGCTATGACCTTTTGTACCAGTTTTTTCTCCACTGTCTGCCACTTGGATTCAGATCTTCTACGTCACAGTTCACAAACTTGATACCTAGTCGCATTTCTTCCAAAGGATTACTCAAGCTAAGAAGGCTAATAATGTCTCTTGGGCATGTCTAGGCAGAGCCCATTTCCATCCAGATAGCCAAAACAAAACTTCCTAACAACTGATCTGCCCATTTAAAAGTAAATGAAACGACCATTTGGAAGAAATGGTCTTCGGGGGTTAGCAGGCAAAGTTCAAGCCTCAGTGTAGACTTTGAAGCTTCATTTTACAGAGGAACATAAAATGACTACCATGATTTATATGAATGTACAAAGGTGAGCTGTGAATTCTGTCCATTACTAAGTCTTGACTGAGACTAGATCCAATGGTAAGCAAACAGATTTGAGGAGATAGTGGAGTGGGGCAAATCGCTCTCATCTCTGTTTGGTAGGGTGCCACCCCTCCAAGATTTTAAACTCCTCTTAAATGTTGCACAAAATCACTTATAAGAAATGGAAGTAATGTATTTCAAATACACCTGAACCAGTTTTCTACATTCTTACAAGTTCTTTTTCATGGAAAAGCTAATTTATTTCTTAAAATGTTTAATTAAGTGGTGCACCCAGTGATCCTTGGTCAGTTTTATGCACTCAGTCTTGTAAATTGAAAGGTAGGTTTCAGAGGAGACTGAAATTTAAAATAAATGTTTGCATTTACATGCTAATGTTTGAGTGTAAAAACTCATTTTCTGCTGAAATAGTCATGCCACTAATATGTTTTGGGCACGTATTATCTTTCAGAAGCATACAGTGTTTTTCCTTCTTGTCCAAAAATGAATGCATAGCTGGAGGTGTATAAAATCTATTCCAGGTACTAGCATTTTATAAGTAATATGTTACCCTGGTGCCTTGAACTATGACATTAGTATGTCCCTGTCTTTCCTAGAAATGTTGTCTGAATCACATTTGCCTTTATTTCAACTATATCTTATTTGTGAAATGTAGTCATTTTGCATTTCAGTAGTAACTCCCATTGTTTTCCTCCTCTCTCTTTTTACCAGTGGATCAATTCCCCATATATTGCACATATCCTTGTTATCACTAGCAAATGCATGACCTTTGTACTATTCAGTTCCTTTGGATTTTTTGTACTTCAGTCCCCAGGACACTGTGTGTGTCTCGTAGTACACCGATTCCCCAGTACCAACAATGCTTCATAATTCTGGGTTATCAGCAGATGCAATTAGTGCATATTTACTTTTTGTGCCAAGGTCATGAAGTAAAATGTTGCATACAATTAATTCCAAAAGCATTCTTGATCAACTCCATTTATTATCACCTAATTATATGATAATTCCTCTTTCAGCACAGCTGGTTATTGTGGGGGTTTGGTGGGTGGGGCTTTTTTTTCCTTTTTTGATTAAGCCTTTATCCACTTGAAAATGTTTATGCTGATTTCCTATTTCGTGCCTTGTAGTTAATTTTTTTTTTACATATATCTTACATTTAACTGAGACCACATAGATTAGAACTTGTATTTAAGAAGAGGAAGAAAAAGGGAAAAGAATGATAGTACAATTCTAACATAAGATGAAGGCCAGAACACCTCAATGCTACTCCCATTCCAAAAATGGCACATCGTGCGTTAGGGCACAGCGAGGTGAAGGACTATCCGAGAAGGCTTTAAATTAGCTCATACCAAAACCAGTTGCAACAGCACAGACTTCCAGAGGAACTAAATGACAGCATCAGTTTAAAAAGTTTGCTAACTAGGAGTGCTAACTACGTGTGTGTGGCTGGACAGCTGCTGTCAGATTTGCTTCCTTTTAAGGCTTGGGTGGCTTTATGCTTAGCTGTTGATAGCAATGTGAATTGACAACAAAAACGGGTCCATGGCTAGTAAGCTATTATTCTTAGCAGTCACAAAGTCTTTCCAGGTTTAGTGGGCTGTGTTTGGCAGTCTTTTGGTTTATTGTTACTATGGTGAAGAAAAAGTACATTACTACATTCTTTGGGTGACATGGGGGACAGAGAAACTAACCTTCCTATATATTTCTTTTTCAGAACTTTGTG